ATGTGTTTCGTGAGTCTGAAGAGGATTTTATAGATTGGTATGGGCTAATCCCGGACTTATGGGTTTGGACTGGACAGGGTAATGTACAATTACCCTTTATAGAAAACTCTTATGCAGATATGCGTGTCTACGCGTTTGTTTTTCTAGTCTACCCGGACTCACACACCTCTCCTTGGTTGGGTGCTGTTGGGTAGGTTCTAGCCCACAGTGACTGGCGCTCTGCACAACGCTGCCCGGTCCTGCGCCAACCTCACAAGCCTGAGCATTGTTGCAGCCACTGTCTAAGGGACATCTTGTTCAGGGGCTTCCTCTTTTGCACTGCCCACCCTCTCCCTTAGCAGCCCCATCAGCTGCCATTGCCCAGGATCCCTGGTGTGCAAACAGTCAAGCAGGTGACTATTAACTGAAGGTTGGCAGTCTGATTCAACCCACAGGGGCCGTGGAAGAAAGGACTGGCGATTTCCCTCCTTCTGAAGGGTCACGACCTTGAAGCGTTCCTTTTGAAGCGGGAGTTCCCGAGCCCAAGCCTGTTGTAAAAGGCAGGCTTCTGAGAGCAGCACGCTTTCGGCTCCCGGGAAGCGCTGTCATGTTGTCATGAGGTCTACTCTGCCGTAGACGGGGTCACCGTGAGACTCGATGGCAACAGGTTTGGATCTGGGTGGTCGCTGGTCCACCCCCTTTGGCTAATGCACTCCAGAGTTTATGAGGTAGGAATAGCCGTGAGCACGGTGTAGGACAGGGTCATTTTGAGTGGTAGCCACCTATAGGGCACGGTAGAACTGCCCCTCTGAGGGTCTCTGAGACTAACTCTTTAGGGAAGGAGAAAGCCTCGTCTTTTTCCCACGGAGCAGATGGTGGTTTCAAACTGCTGGCCTTGTGGTTAGATGCCACCCGTGGTCCTGGCTCTTGTTGAAATCTCATGTCATTCCTATGAAATAGGCTGAGAGCAGAGCCTTGGGGTGGGTGAGCGGTTTCCCGAAGGTTCCACAGATTCGAGAAGGGCTGAGATTTGAACACAGGCCTGTCTCGGAACCCTTTGCAGTCAAGGGCATAGATTATAGCATACGGAGGACACACAGGAAGTGTTCACTAATAATAAAAAAAACAAACCCGTTGCTGTTGACTGCAGCACACAATGAACACATAGGGCGGAGCAGAACTGCCCCCGAGGGTGGCTCAGGGCGTCATCTTTACAGAAGCCGACTGACACATCTTTCTCTGGAAGAGCTCGAACAGCCGACCTTTTGGTTCGCAGCAGAGCCCTTCAACCACAGCCTCACCAGGGCTCCGGACTCCCTTATAATGGTCATTGTTAGTTCATGACGCTTGTTTTGACGCAACCTGACTGCAGGATCACAGGAGGGCATCTTAACTTATGGCTGTTCCCCTCCCTCACACTCTGCCACAGCCCGAGGAGGCTCTAAGTGGAGGCTGGAGTGCCACTTCTCGAG